TTTTGAATCACCAGCTTCCTGGTTAGCAGTCAAATGCCTTAGGCACTACACCACCAGAGCTCCTTGGAAGCTGTATGGAGCACTTCTATTCTGTTTTACGGGGCCACTATGACTTGGAATCAACTGGAAGGCAACAGGTATAAGGTCTATATTCCACTTGAAGTGATAAAATCTTGTTTCTAAGAAGTCTGTGAAAAGGGTGTTGTCATCCCTATGGAAATCACGAAAAAAAAAAAAAGGCCATATAAAGGGGTATGAACAACTAAAATAAAAGACATGGACAAAACTAACTCCTAACAAGTATGTGGGATAACCGGGACTCTCATATATTGCTAGTAGGAATACAAAATGATACAGCTAGGCTGGAAAACAGTTTGACCTTTTTTTAAATAAAGTTAAATTTACACTTACCGTAGGTCCTAGCAATCCCACTGCTAGATATTTGCCTTGGAGAAAGGACAACTTATGTTCACATAGAACTTATACATGAATATGTATAGTAGTGATAATAGTAATTGTCAAAAACTGGAAACAACCCAAATGTCTTTCATTGAGTGACTAAATAAATTACTATACATACATATGAAAGAATACTACACAACCAATGGAAAGAAACTTGATACATACAACATCTTAAGATGAATCTCAAAGCCATTCTCCTGAGTGAAAGTAGTTCAGAAGTCTATTGTTGTTAGGTGCCACAGTCAGCTCCCTGTCACAGAGACCCTGTCTACAACAGAATGAAACACTGCCAGGTCCTGTGCCATCCTCACAATTGTTGTTGTGTTTGAGACCATTGTTGTAGCCATTGTGTCAGTACATCTCATTGAGGGTCTTCCTCTTTTTCTCTGACCCCTCAAAAGTCTATTTACTGTATTGTTCTATTTTTATGACATTCTCAAGATGACAAAACTGTCGGGATAGAAAACAGAGCAGTTGTTGCCAGGGGTTAGGGATGGGGTGAGTACAAACGGCAGTGTGAGAGTTTCTTTGGGGTGTGTCTTAATTGTGGTGGTGGTGGTTACGCAAATCTATCTACATGTTTAAAACTCACGCTTGTACATTCCCCCAGAAAAGTCAATTTTACTGTTTGTAAATTAAAACAAAACAAAACAACAAAATGCAGAAGTGTATTAGGTGATGGAGCCGAGGGAAGGTTTAAAGTGAATGAGATGAGAATAAAGAGAATTCCTGCCTTCCTGTGTAAACTGGGCTTGACCCTGTACTCCTCCACTGCAGGCAGTGGAGCTACTGGTCATCACCATTTGAGATTTGGTAACTTCAGCTCTCTGCTCTGCATTCTGGGATTTGGCAGGAAGTTGTTCCTTACACTATTGTGTCAGTTAATGGGATAGTGTATGTGAAACTCTTTCACATATTTGGAGAGAGGCTCTATAAATAAACTGTAATCACCAGGGGTAGTACAAAGTTTGAAAGAGATAAGTAGATAACTTGTGTGACTTTGGACATACTACATAAACTCTATGAGCCTCAGGAAAATGTCAGAAGAGTAAAATAGGAACATCTACCTTGCTAGGCTGTGGTAGAGACTAGACTTAATGGCATCGAGTTATAGGCACTTACTTACTTATAGGCCAAAACCCCATTGCAATTGAGTGGATTCCAACTCACAGAGACCCTAAGGGACAGAGTAGAACTACCCCATATGGTTCCAAGGTTGTAAATCTTTACAGAAGCAGACTGCCTCATCTTTCTTCTGCAGAGCAGCTAGTGGGTTCAAACTACCCACCTCTCTGTTAGCAGACGAGAGCTTTAACCACTGTGCCATCAGGACAGTACTAAATGGCAGCTGTTACTGCCTTCATTCTCATATTGATGATAGGTGACCCTACACTCACATTGTGATATACGGTGCCCCAAAAGAAACATCAGTAAATCTTATCCACAAAATAGAGTTTAGAAAAAAAAAGACAAATATTTGACACCTTATTGAACTCAAGAGATCTCTGGTGGCATAGTGCCTAAGGCACTTCTGGTAGAAGGTTGATGGTTCAAACCCACCAGCCACTCCTCAGAAGGAAGGTTGGACAATCTACTTCCATAGTGATACCGCCTCAGAAACCCAAGGAGGGGTTGCTATGAGTTGGATCTGACTTGATGGCAGTGAGTTTGGTTTTTTTGGTTTATTGAACCCAAAGAAAAGTTTTAAACAATGGAGTAAAATCCCATTTTACTGAGCACTGTGACAGTTCAGGTTTGCAACAGGAATTGGCAAGTCCTGCATTTCGCTTTTGTTCAAATTATTATTTTTCATGGTGAAACCTGCATTTCACTTTTAATAAAAAGGAAATACTTGTTATTCCTCAGAAAGTTTTGGGGGATATTAGAACAACTGGGGATAAAAAGCAAAGAGGACATATCCCTGAGAGATAACATGTGATTATCATAGACTCAAAACCAACTTAGGTAGGAGATTTAAGGGAGATGAAAGTCAGTCTTACAAGTCAAAAATGAAAGGAAAGAGAGTAGTAAATTGGGGTCAGTATTTCAGCTCTTCAAATGTTCGGCTTCACAAACCTAAGCCAGTTCTTCCCCTCATATTGGCAAGCCATTCATGGAGAGCACACACAGGGTTGGAAAATTCAATATTTGGTTTCCATATCCACTGACTGACTGCTATTTGGAAGTGAATTTAGTGTCTGGAAATGGAGAAGGAAATATTCAGCAGCCGTACTATTTACCAAATGACTGTGTGTGCTTATCTAAACCAGGAAATGATTTTAGCCAGATTTCTCAGCTGTAGGTAGAAAACCAAAAACCAAACCCACTGCCACTGAGTCGATTCCAACTCATAGCTACCCTCACTGGGTTTCCAAGGCAGTAAATCTTTAGGGAAGTAGATTGCCTTGTCTTCCTTTTGCAGAGTGGCTGGGGAGTTTGAAAGTTTAAAACAATATGTAGAAAACAGTTTTACTTAAATAAGGAAGATAAGTAAAGGAGTGCAAACATTGAAATATACTTTTATATCTGGGTAGGTTCATTTTTTTTTTTTCAATGAGCAAGTAATTCCTTAAAACAAATAATAAAAATGAAGTAGGAAAATAAAAAGGAGAAACCTCATTAAGGGTCTTGAGAGTCAAGCAATCTGGATGCAAATCATTTATTCACTCACTTACTCATTCAACAAACATTTATAGAGGGTCTACTATGGGCCAGGCACTATAATAGATGCCAGGGGTACACACAAAACTTTGCTGAGCCTCTGATGTTTTATTTGGTGAAACTGAGAGTAGAGACTAAATCATCTGTAAGGTCACACTAAGAGGAGATGAACTGACTTTCCTTATACTTGGAAAATCACATAAACAGAGATCAGCAGCTTCTGAAGGCTCACACTGCAGGGAAATCCAGGAGACGTGCCCCTGGAGTGAGTGGTGCAAATGGTTAATGCACTTCATTGCTAATAAAAACACTGTAGATTCAAGTCCACCCAGAGGCACCTTGGAAGAAAGGCCTGGCAATCCATTTCCAAAAAATCAGCTATTGAGAACACTTTGAAGTACAGTTCTGCTCTGACACACATGGGGTCACCATTACTCAGAGTTGACTCCATGGCAACTGGTACTGGTTGTCACTGGGCTGTGTGGTCAGTTCCAGGCAGGGCTGTATTCAGTGGGGCTCAGTGCAGTGTTTGGTGTTGTTAAGTAATGGTGGTTGCTGTGCAGCCTCTGATAACAAGGAAGAAGCAAGGCTGGGAGACACAGAGACTGCCCTGAAATGGATGAGTTGAGGTGAACTCAACTGAGGAGAGAAGGTAGGAGGAAGATAGAAGTCACCAATGTCTCACGTCTAAAAGACTTGTCTCAAATATGTTTAGAAGAAATTTCTAACAAAAGGAGAGTTTTCTGGTTCATTTTCAGTTAAGTAGAAAATTAATCATAATACAACTTTCTGTGAATGTTTGTTTTCATTGAGGTTTCTCTAAAAACTGGAGTTCCTGGGTGGTGCAAATGTTTAAGTACTTGACTGCTAATTGGAATTTTGAGCCCACTCAGAGGTGCCTTGGAAGAAGGGCCCGGTGGCCTACTTCTGAGAAATCAGCCGTTGAAAACTTGATGGAGCACAGCTTTACTTTGATGCACACGAATTGGAATCAACTCATCCTCCAAACCAAAAGCCAAACTCACTGCTGTCAAGTCAGGTCCTATTCATAGCAACCCCTCCTTGGGTTTCCCAGGTGGTGTCACTACTGAAGTAGATTGCCCAACCTTCCTTCCGAGGAGTGGCGGGTGGGTTTGAATGCCAGCCTTCTGGTTAGCAGTCAAGTGCCTTAGGCACTACGCCACCAGAGCTCCCACTGGTTACCTAAGAACTAAGAAATTCTATTTTTTTTCTTAGAAGGAGTTTGGTGGGGCAGTGCCTAAGTCATTTGACTGCTAATCAGAAGATTGGCTGTTCAAACCCACCAGCCACTCCACAGAAGAAAGATGGGGCAATCTACTTCCATAAAGATTTACTGTCTTGGAAACTCAGTGGGGGTCTCTATGAGTTGGAATTGACGTGATGGCAGTGGGTTTAAGGGTTTATTTGTTTGTTTATTCTATTTAGTGTGTGTGGGTGTGTGTGTTTGATTTTTGATTAATTTATCAAACTTATCTTTGAGTAAATTACAATCTATTGGGAATATTAGATGAATACATCAGTAAATTCAATAGCGTGTGGCACTGTGAATTTTGAGGAATGCTCAGCGTGCTTTGGGAATCTCAAGTTCAGTTGAGGGGCGGTGGAGAGAAGTGTGGCATTCTGGAGAAGATGACCCAGGGTGAGTATTGAAGTATGATTTCCATAGATTATTATCAGACCTTAAGAAGACTGGCAAACTGCTATCTTGGAAGTAATAAGACATTTCATCAGCCCTTAAGAAAATGGATTCATTTATGGTTCATTTTAAAGTTCATGTTCAAATTTTTCTTCTATGTGTATATGAAAGTGATATCTATTTATCTATCTATGTTTTGTTTTCTTTTGAATAGGTAATTCCATGCTCCCAAAATGGGACATAAAGTGGTCGTCTTTGACATTTCTGTCATCAGAAGTTTGTGGGAATCTCGTGTCAAAAAGCACAAAGCTTGGCAGAAGAAGGAGGAAGAGAGGCTTCAGAAAAGTGCATTGGAAAAGTACGTGTTTTCTGTAATTAGTCTTGTATGTTATTTCATGAGTGGGGACTGGGGCAAGCGGCAGTTGTGTTGAGGAGGAGGATACCTCTCTTTGGGGATTTTTTCTGGTTGGTGACACATGCCTGGTTGGACTTTCAACCCAGAACGAACACTCAATTCCCCTAACAATAAACAAAACAAAACAAAACAACAACAACAAAAACCCAGTTGCTGTTAGTTGATTGGGACTCATGGTGACCCCATGTATTACAGAGTAGAACTGCTCCAGAGGGTTTTTCTTGGCCAGGTCTTTCTTCCACGGCTCCGCTGGGTGGGTTTGAGTAGCCAAGCTTTTTAAAGTTAGTAGTGGAAAGTATTTTATGCTACTAGGGCTTTACCATGAGAATGAATGACGGGGCCTGTGCCCAGGGGGCCTATTTGCAGCTATTGACTGGTGAAAGCTATTTCCCACCCAGGAGTAACTCCTGCCTCTGCCACCGCTTCAGGATAAAGGAAGAGTGGAATTTCGTGGCCGAGTGCAGGAGGAAAGGTGTCCCGCAAGCCGTGTACTGCAAGAATGGTTTCGTAGACACCAGCGTGAGGCTTCTGGAAAAAATCGAAAGGAATTCTCTTGCTAGGCAGAGTTCGCTTTCCAAGGAGAGAGACAAAAGGAGTAGTCCTTTTGTGTTTGAACTTTCGGGGAAGCACTGGACGGTAAGTAGAGATGTGTCGCCATCCACAGTAAGTGGTCGCGCAGTGCAGCGCTGTGACAGACGTGCGCAGTTAACAGGAGCCCTATTCAAGGATTGGCCTTTGCGGAAAGAATGCTTGTTCCCTTCAAGGCTCTTTCCGGTGTGTGGGGAGGAGTCCATTCCCTGCTCCAAGCTCGGCTGCCACCTTCTCTTCCTCCTTGAAACGTAGTCACTGAAAGAGCTGAGAGCTCCACTTGGATCCCAGCTGCCTTCCCCTACATGGTACAGCTAGTTATTGTTGTTGTTGTTATGTGCCATCGAGTCGGACCCGACTCAGCAACCCCTCCTTGGGTTTCTGAAGCAGTATCACTACGGAAGTAGATTGCCCAACCGTCCTTCCAAGGAGTGGCTGGTGGGTTTGAACCGCCAGCCTTGAGGTTAGCAGTCAAGTGCCTTAGGTACAGCCTGTAACATGCTTAGTTCTACTGTGTTTCCCCTTGATATCTAAACTCTGTGCTTTTTTTTTTTTCCCCCTTAAATGAATTGAACCTTTCGTTTCTATAACTGGCATCAGTGGGCCAAGTCTTTGCTGACGGGTCACAGTGCTGTAGGAATTTTGCCAGACTCCTTTATCTTTTTTTCGTGTCGTGAGATTCTAAGGCGGGACGAAGACTGCCGTCCCTCTCCCACATTTCTTTCCTCAGATGTTTATTGGTGGCCTCCTGCCCCCACTTGCTGATTTGCTTGAGGAGGTGTCTCCAGAAATTGTCTATGATCTAAAAGAACTTTTTGCATGTTGAGCCTGACGTTTTATGGTTGAAGCAGCAGCCGGGAGTGCGAGATAAGTCAGTTTGTTCAGACAAAACTGCGGTTGGCACATGTTTGTCTGCATGGGACAGAAGTTCTTTGGACGTGCCCTCCATCTCTTTTTACCCGGCCATTCTGTGGCTGAAAGGACTGTGGACTGGGAGACTAAATATTTGGGGTGATTTTGAACCTGTAGTTTATTAACCATGTGACCTGAATCACTTTCCTTTTATGCGTTTCATTGTCTTTATTAATAAAATGGTGCTAATGCTTGCCCTAAGGGGCTCTGGTGGTGTAGTGGTTACGGCATTTGGCAGCTAACCAAAATGTCAGTGGTTCAAACCCATCAGCTGCTCTGTGGAAGAAAGATGAGGCATTCTGCTTCCCTAAAGATTTACAGCCTTGGAAACCCAATGGGGGTCGTTATGAGTTGCAATTGACTATATGGCAGTGACTTTTTTTTTTTTTTAAATGCTTGTCCTGGCCACCACTGAGGGCTGATGTGAGCATTACAGGAGAGAATGTTATGCGACACTTGTTAGCTACACAGTCCTCTAAAAATTGTGACAATATTACTGTAAAGCCTCTTGATATACTGTCTGGCATCCCATCATGGAGATCAGTGGGTACCTGGACACTGTCTATCCTGGGGCAAGAAGCAGGGCATTCCTGGATTTTTAATGAAATGCTGTTGGTAAATCATTCTCACATGCCATCATCAAACATGATCTTGGGCCTTGCAAGCACTTACCCTGTAGGGAATCATCCAAGTCCACCTGGAAGAAAGTGCAAGGCCTCCTCTTGACTCACAGATTTCCTTTTGAAAATCATTATTTCAAAGTCCGTTAATGAATGCCTAGTATGGTAGTAAGGTGAAGTCCCCGTGTGGTGCAAATAATTAATGCGCTCAACTGCTAACAGAAATTTGTAGGTTTGAGTCCACCCATTGGTCTGTTGGAAGAAAAGCCTGGTGATCCACTTCTGAATAATCAGCCTTTGAAAACCATGGAGCCTAGGTCTACTCTGGCACACATGAGGTCGTCAAGAGTTGGAGTGGACTCTATGCAATGGGCCTCTTTGGGTTTCTGAGGCAGTATCACTATGGAAGTAGATTGCCCAACCTTCCTTCCGAGGAGTGGCTGGTGGGTTTGAACCGCCAGCGTTCTGGTTAGCAGTCAAGTGCCTTAGCCACTATGCTACCAGAGCTCCTTCAGGATCTGGGGGATGCATTAATATGGTAAGAAGGAGGAGAATTGAGAGATTGTTGTGATTCAGTAGGCTGGTGGGAGACTCCATTGTAAACTTTGCAACTGGGTCTTCATTACTGGCAGCCTACTGTCTGCCCACTTGGTTGCCTAACCTGGGTACCTTATATTCATGGAACCCAGTAGAGGGAAGACTCTGGGGCCTCTGGCATTCTCTAGTGTGAACTTCAGTGACTGCTCTATCCTAGAAAGATTTGTGTTTCAGCCTGACCTCTAATTAAGGAGTGAGCTGCTCTGTTAAGGGATTTTCACCATCTTAGAGGGTTTGGTGGCAATAATAGAGTTCTGGCCTCTAACATCACACCAGGCAGCATGCCCAGGCCCTGCAGAAAGTGTCACTGAAAGACAGATGGGGCTGTGGAGCTTTTTGGGGACGGAGAGGAAAGAGATTTGCTTTTGCTTCTTGGGGCTACTACTGGGCCATGCTTTGCAGCTTCATGGCCAGATGTGGGGGGAGAGGTGTCACCTCTGTTAGCTAGGAGCCCCCCAGGCCCTGGACTCTGGTTTAACCTCTTTAAAGGACTGCACAATCTCTCCATCTTCTTCTTTTCACCTCTCTGAGACTCGATTTCATCTTAGAATTTCTTTGTTCTAGTTCCCCCTGTTATTGTTAGGTGCCATCTAGTTGATTTTTGACTCATAGTGACCCTATGTGACAGAGGTAAAACTGCTCCATCAGGTTTTCTAGGCTGTGATCTTTTCAGAAGCAAATCACCAGGTCTTTCTCCCAAGTAGCCACTGGTGGGTTTGAACTGCTAACCTTTCAATTAGTAGCTGAGTGCTCAACCATTGTGCCACCTGGGCTTCTTTTTAATTCCTTATAGTAAATTCATAGAAACCTTTGACAAAGGTCATATTTTGGCTCTCATGGACTAGTTTTAATTGTCTTCAGTTTCAACTTGAACTTGCATATGAGCTCTCGATGTCTGTTCCACAGTCACCTCCTGGCCTTGTTTTGGCTGAAGATATTGAGCTTCTCTATTGCCTCTTGCCACAGATGTAGTCAATCTGATTCCTGTGTACTCCATATGGTGAAGTACATATGTATAGCCACTGTTTGTGTTGTTCAAAAATGTATTTGTAATGAATAAGTCTTTGGTCTTGCAAAATTCTATCATGTGATCTCCAGTGTCATTTCTATCACTAACGCCATATTTTCCAACTACTGATGATTCTTCTTTGTTTCCAACTTTTGCATTCCAATCACCAGTGATAATTAACACATCTTGCTTGCATGTTCAGTCAATTTCAGACTGCAGAAATTGGTAAAAATCTTCAATTTCCTCATCTTTGGCTTTGGTGGTTGGTGCATATATTTGAATAATAGTAGTACTAACTGGTCTTCCTTGTAGACATGTGGATATTATCCTATCACTGACAGCATTGTACTTCAGGACAGATCTTGAAACATTCTTTGTGATGATGAATGCCATGCCATTCTTCTTCAATTTGTCATTCCTGGCATAGTAGATCATATGATTGTCTGATTCAAAATGGCCAAAACCAGTTCATTTCAGCTCACTAATGCCTAGGATATTGATCTTTATGCATTCCATTTCATTTTTGACAACTTCCAATTTTCCTAGATTCATACTTTGTACATTCCATGTTCTGATTAATAAAATATTTAATAAAATATTGGATGTTTGCAGCTGTTTCTTCCCATCTTGAGACATGCCACATCAGCAAATGGGGGTCCCTAAAGGTTTACTCTATCTATATCCTTAAGGTCAGCTCTACCCTGAGGAAGCAGCTCTTCTGCAGTCATATTTTGACTGCCTTCCAACCTGAGGGGCTCATCTTCTAGCACTACATAGCACAATGTTTCAGGGTTATTCATAAAATTTTCCAGTAACATATCAGGCAGTGTTTCACTGGTATTTGTAAGGTTTTTACTGGCCAATTCTTTGAGATGTGGATGGCCTCTTCCTTCTTCTGAGTCTGTCTTAGTTTGGAAGCTCCACTGAAACCTGTCCACCATGGGTGACCCTGCTGGCACTTGTGACACTGGTGGCATAGCCTCCAGCCTCACAGCAACACTCAAGCCACCACAGTAGGACAAACTGACAGACAAGTTTGTCTCCCTTAGTTGTTCCGTACTGCTCTGCTCATTTCCTGGTCTCCCCTGTCTTGCTCGCTTACCTGGCCTGCCTCCATGCACACAAATTCCTGGCTTCTGCTGCTCCTGAGGCTGGTTTACCATAGCCTGCCTCCACACACACAAATTACCACCATCCACTAGGCCTTTGATTTTAGAAATATCATGAATTCATGGCAGTTTTGAAATGAAGCTAATCTACCTTGTGAAATTAATGACAACTGCAGAGTCTTTGTCTCATGTACTTTGGTCATGTTGTCAGAAGGGACCAGGCCCTGGAGAAGGATATCATGCTTGGTAAAGCAGAGGGTCAGCAAGAAAGGAGATCCTCAATGAGATGGAGTGACAGTAGCTGTCAATAGCAAAGACTGTGACAATGGCACAGGACTGAGCAGTGTTTCATTCTGTTGTATATAAGGTCTCTGAGTCAGAATCAGCTTGATGGCACCTAACAGCAACAGCAACAAAAAAAAACCAGTAGGGTCTGCTTTCTTTTAAAATGGCTGTTACGGCTAATGCTCTTGCACACATGCTCTCAATCATTGGTTAATAAATGATCAATGTGGCTTGGCTTTGGGCACATTGCCCCTTAACTCCAACTATTGAGCAATTAGTCCTGACTGATGTAACTTAATTCTACTTTAGGACCTCCCAGAATCGTTGAAGGAGCAGACCCACCTGAAAGAATGGCACATAAACGATACCCTGATTCAAATCATTCCTTCCTATATTGAGCTGTTTCAAGCAATGAGAATTCTGGATCTGCAAAAAAACCAAATCTCATGTCTTCCTGCAGAAATTGGTACGTTGCTTAGCAGGAATCTTCAGACCCCTCGTCTGTGGTAAGCAGACTGGTGACACTGCATGAATGATTTCTTCCTCCTACTGCCTCTAGAGGAGCTCTGGTAGCATAGTGCCTAAGGCACTTGACTGCTAACCAGAAAGCTGGTGCACCAGCCACTCCTGCCACTCCTCGGAAGGAAGGTGGGACAATCTATTTCTGTAGTGATACTGCCTCGAAAACCCAAGGAGGGGTCGCTATGAGTTGGGTCTGACTCGACGGCACATAACAACAACAACAACTGCCTCTAGAAGTTGCCAGATGGAGCTGTTTCATGTGTTCCCAGAACTGCTCATTTGCCAGGTCTTCTTTGGTGGTGATGCCTGGTCCCTGATCTCACTTGCATAACTCAACACATAGGGACATTTGCCAATTGCTCACAAACTTGAAATTCTCATAAGTGAGGGAACAAATTCATGTTTAGGAACAAATTTTTGTTTAAGACAACATGGTAAGAGATTAAACCCAACTCCTTTACAGACTAAAGCTGCTAAACATAAAAGAGCTCACATCTTTTTGGCTGTTCCCAAGTTTCTCACTTTTAGCTTCACTACCAGATAGATCCTGTGTCTGACTTTTTTCTTTTTTTTCCCTCTTTTCCCATTTACCTGTAGTTTTTAAGTAACATACTCTGTATTTTGTAAAGGAGATTGAGTTTGATTTCTTTCAGTATTGTCTTAGAGAACTATTAGGGCTGGTGGAGGGGAAGGAGGGAGAAGTTAGGAAAGGGTGATCAACAGATAAAATATTATTTTCCGGACTATTTTTTTTAACACTCTATTTTTCTTATTGTTGTAAGGATATAGAGAACACAACATTTGCCAACTGAACATTTTTCATGTGTCCAATTCAATAAATCAATTATGTCAATCATGTTGTGAAATCATAACTGATTTCTATTGCTAAATTTTCCATCCCCATAAACAAAAACTCAGTGCTTCCTGAATAGTGATTCCCTCCTTACCTCATCCCTTCTGCTGCTGGTAGTCATTATTAAACTCTAATCTCTATAAATTTGTCAGTCCAATTATTTTTTTAACATTTGAAATTAAGTCATTAAGAATAGCAGTGAGTGGTCCTCTCAACTCCTTTGTGAAGTTTCCAAGTAATTATCATTATGTTGTTGTTGTTGTTGTTATTTGCCATCAAGTCATCATTATATGGGCTAATTATTGAAATCATTTTAAAAATTATGCAAATATTGTAAAGTATGGTAATTCCTTAAGCTGTTTCTGGGCTCTAGAAACAAGAAAAGTCAATAGACAATTAATTATGTCTATTTGGATTATATTCCCTTCACTAGAAATTAGGTCTGAGTGCCCTGGAAGAACAGATAGTACATAGATGGCTTTTGTTTCAGTTGGAAAAGATCATGGGACATTCTAAGGAGTAGACTAGTTATTTAAAAAAGTTCAAGCCTCAAGTTGCAATATTGAAGTATTCTATGGGCAAAATATTGGATAATACAGGAAGCATCAAAAGAACATGGAAGGAATATACAGAGTTACTGTGCCAAAAAAGAGTTGGTTTGATATTTAGCCATTTCAGGGATAGTATATGATCAAGAACCAGTGCACAGAAAGTTTTTGTGAAACACAAGTTTCCAGGAATTGATGGAATACCAGTTGAGATGTGTCAACAAATAGATGTTTGTTCATTTGTATATGTCAAGAGATTTGAAAGACATCTACCTGGGCAATTGACTGGAGGAGATCCATATTTGTGTCCATTCCAAAGGATGGTGACCAACTGAATGTGGAAATTATCGAACAATATCATTAATATCACGTACAAGCAAAATTTTGTTAAAAATAATTAAAAACAGTTGCGCAATACATAGACAGAGAGTTGCCAGAAATTCAAGTCAGATTCAGAAGAGGATATGGAGCGAGGGCTATTATTGCTGATGTCAGATGGATCTTGGCTGAAAGCAGAGAATAGCAGAAAGACACTTACCTGTGTTTTATTGACTAGGCAAAGGCATTCAACTTTGTGGATCAGAGCAAATTATGGGTAATGTTTCAAAGAATGGGAATTCTGAACACTTAATTATTCTCTTGTGGAGTGTGTATATAAACCAAGAAGCAGTTGTTTGTGCAGAAAAAGAGAATAGTGCAAGGTTTAAAATTAGAAAAAGTGTTTGTCACAGTTGTATTATTTTGCCATACTTATTGAATATGTATGCTGAGCAAACAATCCAAGAAGCTGGCCTATATGAAGAAGAATGTGGCATTAAGATTGGAGCAAGACTCATTTACAACCTGTGATATACAGATGACACAATTTACTTGCTGAAAGCGAAGAGGACTTGAGACACTTATTGATGAAGATCAAAAACTATAGCTTTCAGTATAGATTACATCTCAACATAAAGAAAATAAAAATCCCCACAACTGGACCAATAAGCAACATCATGATAAAAGGAGAAAAGATTGAAGTTGTCAAGGATTTTGTTTTACTTGGTTCTATAATCAACACCGGGAGCTCTGGTAGCATAGTGGCTAAGGCACTCGACTGCTAACCAGAAGGCTGGCGGTTCAAATCCACCAGCCACTCCTCGGAAGGAAGATGGGGCAATCTACTTCCGTAGTGATACTGCCTCGGAAACCCAAGGAGGGGTCGCTATGAGTCGGGTCCGACTCGACGGCACATAACAACAACAACAACAACAATAATCAACACCATAAGGATGTCAACCGACATATTGCATTGGGCAAATATGCTGCAAAAGACCTCTTTTTTTTTTTTTAAATGAATTTTATTGAAATAAAATTTATGTACAGTGAAATACACAAAACTAAAGTGACATGGGTCAATGAATTTTTTTTTTTTCAGTGTTCCCTCCTCTCCCCTCCCACCCCTGGCAACCAACAAAGAATGTTTCCTTCCATATATAAAAACCTTTCCTTGACCCCCCCACAACAATGAACTAATACTATATTTGTCTTTCTGTGATTGACTTCACTCAGCATAATGTCCTGCCAAGTTCATCCATGTTATGCGGTGTTTTGCAGACTCTACATTATTCTTTAGTGCCGCATAGCATTCCATTATGTGTATGTACCATAGTTTGGTCATCCACTTTTCCGCTATGAATCTTGGAGTTAAGTCCCTTGCCAGATATGTAATTATTGGCAAATATGAATTTGTTGCTGTCATTTTTGTTATGTGCTTTTTCATAGTGTTGATTTCTTTGTTCCATATAATTTTCTGTGCTGAGCTTGTTTTGTTTATGAATCATGTTATCACTTCCTTCGTTGCTATTGTTTTAGTATTTGTTGAATATTTATGCTGGTCCTCTTTTTTAATGTGAAGGTTTATAATTTTTCTTTGAGGTTACCCTGTGATTTATAGCTTTCTTCCCAAGTTTGGAACAGTCCATTCTATCTTGTAGTTGTCTTTTTTTAAAATTGTGATGTGGGTGAAAGTTTACAGAGCACATTCACTTTCCATACAGCAGTTCACATATACTTTGTCTCATGACATTGACCACAATTTACCACAATGCAACAGCTCCCCTCCCACTTCCTCCCCATAGTTACCTCTTCCCTGTGTCCATCCCTCCATGCATTCCTGCCCCCTGAGCATAAACAGCCCTTCTTTTTCCAATGATTGTTCTCTGCAAGGAGTGTATCTACCTCAGGTACATGTTCAACTCATATGCCTGTCATTTGTTTGTCCGGAAGCCACACTTGTGGGTTCAATTCCAGACCTGAAGGGCAGCTAGAGGCCATAGTCTCAGTGGTTCCACCAGGCTCTAACAGACCAACAAACCTGGTACTCCCCCCCTTTTTTTCCCTAAATGATGTAAAAGACCTCTTTAAAGTGTTAAAAAACAATGATACCACTTTGAGGATTAAGGTGCCAAGCCATGGTATTTTCAGTCATCTCATATACATGTGGAAGCTGGCCATTGAATAAGGAGGACCAAAAAAATTGTATAATGGTGTTGGTGAAGAATGTTGACTATACCACGGACTGCCAGAAGAATAAACAAATCTGTCCTCAAAGAAGTACAGCCAGAATGCTCCTTAGAAGTGAGGATGGTGAGACTTCATCTCACTTATTTTGGGTATGTTATCAGGAGGGACCAATCCCTGGAGAAGGGTATTGTGCTTAGTAAAGAAGAGGATCAATGAAAAAGAGGAAGACTCTCAATGAGATGGATTGACACAGTGGCTGCAACAATGGGCTCAACCATAAAAATGATTATGAAGATGGCACAGGACCAGGCAGTGTTTCATTCTATTGTGTATAAGGGTGTTATGAGTCAGAACCAATTCGATGGCACCTCACAACAGCAGCATAATTGACCATTAACAGTGTTCTGAAACAAAAGTATACCTCTTCTTCACTTACCAACTATCTCATTATCTGACATTTCACACTTATAACAATAGTAAAAAAATCTACTATATTACTATTTTGCACATTAATGAGGTACGTCCGGCAGTAAGGAACACTGAGGTGTGAGGCCAGAGTAATGGTTCCTGTGATGGTTCAGCTTACTTATCAACTTGGCTGGGCCATGATTCCCAGTGGTTTTGCGGTTATGTAAAGATATAATTTGGCCATTCTGTAATGATGTAATTTGATGGTTCTGTAACGATGTAGTCATCCTCCATTTTGTGATCTGATGTAGACATCCTCCATTTTCACATAATGACCTGGTTTTTGGAAGCTAGTCATGTTGATATGTGAGGAGTGTGTATATTGAAAATTTTAATAAGTAAGTATGTTTTCAAAGAATGTGATGCTGTACTCTACATCTTACTTATACTTGGAAACCCAAGGAGGGGTCGCTATGAGTCAGGGCTGACTCGATGGCACACAACAACAACAACAACAAATAAGCAGGAAAAAATGTGGTCCAAATCAGAAATGAAATGAGTGGCAAGAAAGGAAATGGCTCTGCTAAAGTGCTGGTCCTAAGGAAAGCATCATACATGGTCAACTCTAGGCTGATGTTTCCCTGCTGAAGATAAGGCCCAGTGAATAACAAGGGGTTTTTCCTAACTCTGCTCATTTTTTGTAAGGAAAAACAAACTGCATTTTTGTTTTGTTTCAAAGTTTTTTTACCAAGGCTGATGAGGATAACCCTACTTGTGCAGGAAACTGGGAGCTGATTTCAACTAGATCCTTTCATGTTTCAGGTCTATCAGAAGAGTACCCCTATCCTCTGAATGGGAGAAGGGGGCATTGGCTGGAGGGGGGAGCAAAGGTGGGGAGTGAGAGGGAGAGTGTGAGTGCAATAACCTGCTTAGAGAAGAACCAAAATGTTCAGAACACATAAAAGATAAGTAGACATTTAATAAAGAGTACTTAAAAAAAAAAGTTTAATTATGTTTAGTGCCCACCCTCCTTTGGCTGGGGCTTTTGACCTAAAAAAATCTCTGAAGGAGAAAATTGAGCCCTTCTCAGATGAATAATGGAGCTCTGGTAGCATAGTGCCTAAGGCATTTGACTGCTAACCAGAAGGCTGGCGGTTCAAACCCACCAGCCACTCCTGGGAAGGAAGGTTAGGCAATCTACTTCCGTAGTGATACCGCTTCAGAAACCCCCCCTGAGGGGGGGGGTTTGCTATGAGTTGGGTACCACTCGATGGCAGTGTGGTTCATTTTCATTTTCAGATGAATCAAGGAGCTCTGATGGCACTGTGGTTAAGGCATTGGGCTGCTAACCAAAAGGTTGGTGGTTTGAACCTACTAGCTGCTCTGTGGGAGAAAGATGAGGCAATCTGATTCCGTAAAGATTTACAGCCTTGGAAACCATGTAAGGGGGGTTGCTATGAGTTGGAATTGACTCAATGGCAGTGGATTTTTTTTCTCAGATGAATAATGCCAAATTCTTCCAAGGATATTGAGAAAGGAAAAGTTATATTTATGAAATGAAATCAGGCATTATGAAAATGAGTGGAAAGGACAGCACTGATTTTAATATAAACATACACAATTTCTTTCTAAAAACCAAACTCACTGCCATCAAGTTCTTACTCATAGTGACCCCTCCTTGGATTTCCAAAGCAGTAAATCTTTATGGAAGGAAATTGCCCAGTCTTCCTTCCACCAAGTGGCTGATGGGTTTGAAACACCAACCTTTTGGTTAGCAGTCAAATGCCTGAGGCACCATACCACCAGAGCATCTTACAATTTCTTTATGTCTACAAATTATTTATTAAATGTTATGCTAACTGTAGGCTTTCTAAAGTCTATTACTTTTTCTTTGACCATCTTTGGTCAAAGCTAGTATAAAATTTTCTCTTCAATTATTTTATCTTGTCTTTGTAGCCTCTTGTGATAGCAAAATGCATGTATATTGGTATAAATGTGTCCTAATGTACTAAACTAAATGCCTCGATCAACTAGGTCATGCAACTCTTTAACAGATAGGTTTACTTTGCTGGGTCTGAAAAGTACGCTGAACATGGAACATTCACATTGTCTATTCCTATCTTCTGGTGGCTCAGTGGTTAAGTGTTTGCTAACCAGAATGTCCCTGGTTCAAACCCACCAGCTGCTTTCTGGGAGAAAGGCCTGATGATCTGCTACTGTAAAGATTCCAATGTGGAGATAGCTCTACTCTGTCATAAAGGGTCACTGTAAGTCAGTGTCAATTTGATGGCATATAACAACATTTAAACAAAATTTCTTCATTTTGTTTTTGTTGAGAATATACACAGCAAAACATAGAACAGTTTCTCCATGTACAATTCAGTGACATTGATTACATTCTTAGATTTGTGCAATCATTGTCACCCTCTTTGTCTGAGTTGGTCCTTCTCCATTAACATCAACTAACTGTCCCTAAGGTTCCTATCTAATCTTTCAAACAACAACATTTGTTGTTGTTGTTGATGAGAATATACAGCAACACATATACCAGTTCAACCGTTTCTGCATATACAGTTCAGTGCCTTTGATTACATTCTTCGAGTTGTGCATTCATTTTCATCCTCCTTTTCTGAGTTGTTCTCGCTCATTAACAATAGCTCAGTGTCCTCTAAGTTTCCTATCTAATCTTTAGAGTTGCTGTTGTCATTTTGATCCCATATAGATAGTTCTTAAAAGAGCATCCAAGGCAGACATTTTTTACTAGTTAAGCTAAACTTTGGTTTTAAGAAGACTTCTAGGGATATTTTTGGTTTAAGGTTTAAAGATGATCTCAGGGCAATATATTTTTTTTTTTTTAATCCATAGGGTTTTTTTTTTTTTTTTATTAGGATTTGGGTGAAGATTTACAGAGTAAATTCACTTTTCATACAGCAGTTCACATATACTTTGTCTCATGTCATTGACCAAAATTTACAATGCAGCAGCTCCCCTCCCACTTCCTCCCCATAGTTACCTCCTCCCAGTGTCCATCCCTTCATACTCTTCTGCACCCTGAGCTATCTCCCTGTGCATAAGCAGCCCTTCCTTCTCCCATGATTGTTCTCTCCAGGGCGTGTGTCTACTTGAGGTAAATGTTTAACTCACATACCAGAACTAAGGGCAGCTAGGGGCCACAGTCTCAGTGGTTACACCAGGCTCTATTGGACCAGCAAACCTGGTCCCCACCTTCTTTTTTTTTTTTGTCAGGGCAATAATTTCAAGGCTTCAAGAAAGCCTGGAGTCCATGAGAAATTGAAATTATGTTCAGCATCCCTGCCCCCAAGTCAGGATTCTTCTATAGAATCTTTTTTTTTTTTTTAATTATAGAGACAGTTTTATTAAGTCTTAGACAGGACAAATGCAATCATCCAGGATGAAGGAAACTAGTAGTGTGTACAGAGTACAGAAGCTGAATGGAGTCCACTGAGTCACAGTCATGAAGTTCATTATATTTGATAGAGTACAAAGGAAATCATCACAAAATCATGATTGGTGGCAGGTCAACCCTTTACTGTCACAGGAAGGACAATAGAAGTGGGGAAAGGACCATGATTGGAATACATACATAACTGAAGATTAAAAAGGAAGGGTTATAGGATTGGGTTCTGCAGCTTGACCACTTGGCTATGTGGTGGTCAGGGTATGATGCATGACCATGTGACCTGAGTCATAGCAACAAAGTGGCTACAAGACAATCCTAGAACCCTAACTTTAATTAATTATTTTAAAGTTTTTTAAAATTATGACTTGGGTGAAAGTTTACAGAGCAAATTCATTTTCCATACAGTAGTTCTTACACATTTTGTTTCATGACTTTGACTGCAATTCCCTCAATGTAATAGCTCTCTTTCCACTTCCTCCTCGTAGTTACCTCCTTCTTTCCCATGCATTCTTGCCCCTGAGTTGTCTCCCTATGCAAGTACTGCCCTTCTGTTCTCCCATTATTGATTCTTCTAAGAAGTGTATCTACCTCGTGTAAATGTTCACACTATATGCCTGTCTATTATTTGGCTGGAAGCCACAGGAGTGAGTTACCTAAGGGTAACTAGAGGCCATATAGTCTTGGGGGTCTCACCAGACTCTGTCAGCCCTAAGCCTAGTCTTTTTTATGATTTTGACCTTTGTTCCACATTTTTCTCCCAGTCTATCCAGGATCTCCTGCACTGATCCCTTTCTGAGTGGTTGAAAGTAGTAGGCAGGCACTATCTAGTTCTGTTCTCATGGTCACAGAGGCTGAGGTTCACCTAGTCCACTAGTCCCTTGGACTAATAGTTTCCATGAGTTTTTGGTTTTCTTCATTCTTCTTTGCTTTGGATGAGAAGAGACCTATAGTTGCATCCAGATGGCTACTTGCAAGCTTTTAAGACCCCAGTCGCTACTCATCTTCTATAGAATCTTTGATCAAAACAACAAGATTTTTTTATTCATTGCATTATTGTCTGTTATTTCTAGTATATTCACTTCCTGCTTGTGAAAGGGACTTAATAGCATATTCTGTACAAAGTATGATGTATCATAATTAGATCAATGCAAACATGACAAAAATAAATGGTGAATTGCCACCTGTAAACAAGTTATGTGTCTGAATCATTTGCCACATACATACAGCTTTGTGCATATTTCTGAACCTACTTAGAGTCCACCAGTGTTTCTAGGAGCTGTGCCACTGTTCAAAGCCACTACCTGCTATTGAACTGAGGTAATTTATGAGGTGTTTGCATTCTATGGGTGCTGAGGCCTGACCTAAGTTCTTGAGGACAGATCCATGAAGGATTAAACAGTTAAAGAGGAAGCAAAAGATGCTATGATCAGGAACTAAAATTTCAGGATAAAAAGTGAGTAGACATTTAATAAAGAATGCTTAAAAAACATACACAAAATGATGTTTAGTGCCTTCCTCATCATTTATTTTAGCAAATGTTTCACATCTAAGTGTTGCATTTTGTTCTTAAAAGACCTATTCAGTGGATGTGAACTTTTTCTCCTGGCAGGTTGTTTGAAGAATCTGAGAGAACTCAATGTGAGTTTCAACCATCTGAAAAGCATTCCTCCAGAACTGGGAGACTGTGAAAATCTGGAGAAACTGGATTTTTCTGGGAATCTGGAATTAACTGAGCTCCCCTTTGAAGTAAGGAACAAATATTTCTGCATTATGATTCATTTTATTTGGGTAATAACAGAATGGTTATAATGTGAGGAAGAAACTTGAAAATATCGATAAAGTCTCTCTTTAGTATATTACATTATTTTGGTGATTATTTTAATCATCCCATATTAGCTATTGGGAGCCCTGGTAGCGTAGTGCCTAAGGCACTTGACTGCTAACCACAAGGCTGACTTGTCAAACCCACCACTCCTCAGAAGGAAGGTTGGACAATCTACTTCCGTAGTGACACTGCCTTGGAAAACCAAGGAGGGGTTGCTATGAGTCGGATCTGACTCGACAGCAGTGAGTTTATACTAGCTATTACAGGATTTTTCAAAAAATGTTCTTATATTAGCAAAAGGACTAAGTTTAAATCCAGAAATGCTATAAAAGGAAAACTAGGCAAAATATCCTATTTTCATCCAAGATATTTTTTTTTTTTTTTTTTAGGATTTGGGTGAAGATTTACAGAGTAAATTCACTTTTCATACAGCAGTTCACATATACTTTGTCTCATGTCATTG